TGCATATCAGATTCCCTCCTGTCGCGCACTACCTGGAGGGCATGGTCGGGGCAGATGAAGCGGTTGGTGGCTGAAGCGGTTGTGGATTGCGTCCCAGACAAGGCTATCGACGAGGAAGAAGCCATCAGCTGTGGTGCAAGGATGAGCAAGTTGACCAAGGAACAGCGCGAAGAGTGGAAGAGACACCTGAGGAACGATCATCAGCCATACAGGGCTGATTACTCGGTGTGCCTGAATGCTCAGGCCACGGGTTATCAACACCGTCGTCGACGGCATCCGCAGTTGTACGCGTTGGCCTTGGACCTTGCAGGACCCTACAAAACGGCAGGCCGCGACTTGGACTTCAACGACTACAAGTACATCATGGTCGCCGCGTACAGATGTCCGAAGGAATACTTGGAAACCAAGAACTACGAGGAGTTGGCGGAAGAGTTTGCCATGGATGAATATGTTCCTTCGGATGAGGAGGAGGACGAACATCCTATGGAAGAAGTGGAGCAGGGGGAAGAAGGTTCAGGAGGAGAAGATCATGAAGAAGTTCTTCCTGGAAGGGAGGGCCCTGAGACCCTCGAAGAAGCCATAAAGGATATCACCGAGCCCCCGGAGTGCGTCACCATTTACCTCTCACGGCCTTTGAGGAGGAGAACCAAGAAAGAGGTTTTGAGAGCCTCAAAGGAGATCCTTCTTCAATTTACCCAAACGGCATTACATGTGGCTACAGTGCACACAGACAGGGCGAGAGAGTTCTCTTCGTTGGTGTTCAAGGAGTGGCTGGCGGACAAAAGCTTAAGGCACTCAAGAACTTCGGGCGGCGATCCCGCCGCAAACAGCACTGCAGAGCTTGGTGTTAAGTGGGCAAAAGCCAGAGTAAGGGCACTGTTGAGTGCCGCGAAAGCAGATGCGAGAGATTGGCCGATGGCGATTCAGCATGCTACCGCATCGGCTTGGGCAAAGGCATTTCCGTCATCGCCTACGACAAGAACACCAGCAACCCCGTTTGGCCATGAGGTGTGGTTCAGAGCGAAAACCTACAAGGGCACCGCCGAGAAGAAGCAGGACCCAACCGGGGCGAGGTGGAAACGAGGATGGTATCGAGGCCCTTCCTATGATGTTAACAGGGGCCATGTGATATTGCGAGAAGATGGTGGTTTGACAATTGCGAAAAGCGTCAAGTTCAATGTGGTGGACCCTGAAAAGGAACTTCCAGATCTACTACCACCGGCCATAACCGATGACTACTTACGGGAGCCCGAGGGCGCCGATGTCCTGGTGACAAAGGAGGGGCTCAAGAATGAGATTGAGTTCTTGGCGCAAAAGTTATTGGAGAAAAAAGCCTTTGAAGACAAGGATATGGTGTTTCTGTTCGAAAAGCTGGAAGAGCTGGGGAACACTGACTTCAGAGTGGGCAAGAAAACTCCAATGACAAGTTGGTTTTCAGGTGCTTACGTTCATGGAGGTGTAGCGGGATTGAGGAACAACACCAGACAGTTTGTCTACGCTACAAAGTATATGGCCGCCTTTGCAAAAGCAAGTAATGGTGGGAAGGAGTTTTCAGCAGTGGGTGTTACAAGAAACTCCGCATTGGGGATACACCGCGACGTGCACAACAACAAGAGCACTTCAAACATGGTTCTCCGATTGACCTCATTCCAAGGAGGAGATCTATGGGTGGAGGATAGCAATGTTGTGGAGGCCGAAAAGGTGATGAAAGAGGTTCCCAAGCGTGGAGAGATATCAGGGAGGATCATTCAGTTGCACCAAGGCAAGGTTGCTACGTTTAAACCGAACCTATGGCATGAAGTTCAACCGTGGACAGGTGACAGAGTGGTTATGGTAATGTATACCCCAAGGGCAACGAAGCTAAAGATTGAGGACATTGAGCACCTCAAGGAATGCGGCTTCTATGTCAATGAGGAGTCCTTCAAGGAGGAAGCCGAAGATTTGAACTTCGAGGACGATGTGTTTGGTGGGGATGATGATAACATCGAGATACGGAGAATGTCTTTGACTACCCGGGAGGACCAGGACGCGGCCTTTGTGGAAATTACAGATGAAGACATCTTCTCGGGAACCACCAAGATTGACAACCACAACCTTTGTTTACCTGTGCCGGATGAAGAAGGGACAGTGCGACTTCAAAGGATGGTGAAAAAGGCAGAGGTTCAATGTACAGCCAACATAGAGGAGATCCTCAACCACCACAAGAACAACAAGATCCCTTTACAAGTCACTCATACCGTAAGTTTGGGTGAGGTGAGAAGGGCTATTGACCAATGGGCACCGTCGGCAAGAAAGGGGTATGACAACTTGGTGCACAACAAAAGGGCTTTCAAACCAATGAAGGCCAAGGACTTACCGCCGGGTTGTAAGGTGGTACCGTGCAAAGGCGTGTTCACCGTGAAGCCTGACTCTGGTGAAGACGGCTTCAGAAGGAAGACCCGATTTGTGGCCTGCGGCAACCATGTTGCTGAAGGCGAGTTGACGGGCTCCGACTTTGACCTCTATGCGGCCGGAATAGACGCTACCTCGCTACGTACAGTGCTCGCCTACAAGACCAAGAAGAAAGACTGGGGTGCCGGTGTCACCGACATAAGACAAGCGTTTGTATTGGCACCATGGATTGGTGGTGCTGTGGCTTTGAAGCCGCCAGCGCTGGCGGTGGATTTAGGCCTGGCTGAGGCCGACGATTATTGGCTGGTCCTACAGTCGATCTACGGACTACGGGAGTCACCAGCAGCTTGGGCATGCTATAGAGATACCCAATTGAAGGCTGCAAGATGGACTTCGAAAGTTGGTGGAAAAGATGTGGAGCTAAAGCTACAACAGTTGGTTTCGGACAATCAAGTTTGGCGAGTCGTACGAGCCGATGGGGCCTCGGACGAGGCCTTGGGCTACCTGTTGGTGTATATCGACGACCTGATGGTGGTTGGACCGGACCCGATATTGAGATCCTTCTTTACATGGTTGTCAAGTATGTGGGAGTGCGATGACCTCAGTGTGCTTTCGGAGGGCAACCCGATTAAGTTCTTGGGCATGGAGCTACATGAGGTTGACAATGGCATCGAGATCTCCCAAGAAGGCTTCATTAAGGAGATGCTTAGGGCCTATCAGCATGAAGGCAAGCGAGCGAAGACCCAAGGCCCGAAGGAGCTCCTCATCATGTCCGCCGAGGAGGAGGCAAAGATGCTTGAAGCCCAACCCGTGGACTTGACTGGGAAGGAGAAGATTGTCAAGGAGGCACAGAGAAGAGTTGGGGAACTAAACTGGTTAAGTTCAAGATCGAGGCCGGATATCCAGTATGCTACAGCGGTTATGGCGTCAAGAATAACGCGGTGCCCAGAAGCTGTGGTTACTATTGGAGACCGTTTGCTGGACTACCTCCACGAGACGATCAAGGACAGACTGAGGTTTGCAAATGACAAAGGGGAGGAGTAGCAGCAGCTAAGGGCCTACACAGACTCAAGCTTTGCACCATCGTCAGGACGCAGTCATGGAGCAGTGGCAATTTTCTACGGCACTTGCCCTTTGGCGTGGAGGAGCTCGAGGCAACCACTTATAGCTTTATCTACAGCAGAGACAGAGCTGATGGAAGGAGTGGAAGGGTTGATCATGGCTCTTTCTACCAAGTGCCTGTTGGAAGAACTGCTCAATGATAGTTTGCCGATATTTCTGCACATAGACAACAGCGCGGCTATTTCATTTTTGACTACGGCAGCCGGGAGCTGGAGGACGCGTCACCTTCGTCTACGAGGAAACTGGGTACGAGAGCGTGTTCAACGACAAGAAGTGAATGTCGTTCACGAACCTGGTGATACTCAACGTGCTGATATTGGTACAAAGCCTTTCAGCAAAGACCGGTTGAAGCAGTTAAAAGAGCTCTGGGACATAAAGGAGAGGAAGCTGGTGTTAGCCAAGGCAAGGGCTCTGGATATGAAGCCGTGGATGCAAAAGCTGTTGTTGCTATGTCAGATGTGTAGAGCATACAGCGTGAAGGAGAATATACAACCGGAAGTTCCATGGGACCTCTACCTGGTGGTGGTGATTATGGCCATTGCGGTGATTGGTGTTTGGGAATTCACAAAACACTGCGCCCATAGGGGTAATGTGCGTCTTCAAGCTCTACGAGTCAAGGCATCAAGAAGCAGCCCAAGAAGGATTACAAGAATGGAGTTGAAAGAGCTGCAGTTATTGATGTCTACACCCCCCGGGGACTTGACCGATGAGCAGAAGATCAGGCTCGTGGACCTTAAGGAGATGTTTGATGAGTCGGAGGGTCTTCACTGGCCGCTGGCCCCTTCCATCAGGCCGAAGGGCGTGATGTGATTCACGTATATGAGAACTGTTGGGGCCTACGAAATGCGAGCCGACGGCGAGTCGTACAGCTATGTAGATGCTGTGCAGAAAACAGTGGCAACAGGATCTACTGATGCCAGGGTGGCGCGGCACTATCGCTTGGCGCCAAGGAGGAGTGCAGAAGGATAGAAGGCTCTGTGTGTATACCCTGTGCCACATAAGGCCTCACCTTCCATGCTCCGAACCACGTTTTTTACCGAAAGATCAAAGGCTCGAAGGGCCCGCAACAGCAGATTCAGAACGATGTCACATGTGTACAATTTCAGGCGACGTTCAGACTTTCTTGCTGTGCCTTAGAGAAAAGATCACCAGCCTGAGCGCCCATGGTTGAGCGCCTCTCTTGAGGCATAAGACTTCGCTGTGAGTGTTTTCTGGCTGCCAATTAAATATCAAGAGTTCTACATTTACACAGCTGCATGCGTTGCAGGAAGCTCTCATGAGAAGGGTTTTGCTTAAGTCTTATCATAGAGCTTGCTGTGAAGGTTGGCCTTGACTTCAAGAAGCGTTGTAGACTTTATTTGCGTGCATTTCGATTGTGTGATCGCGAGAGTTTCTTTTGTTCAGGAAATCGGATCTCATTTTGTGTTTTCGAACTCATGGAAACAAGGCACAAGTTCAGCATCCGAGCGAGGGGCTACGGAGAGAAGATGGACTTGCGGATTCTCGGCCCCTATAATACGTGCTTGAATTCCACATTGATGTGTTGCCATGTGCCAGTGTACAGAACACGTAGCCCGTCATAGTTTCATACGAGATACCTGTAGGGCTTGTGTACTCCGCAGATGCCAAGGAAGCATGAGCAAGGCACCGAAATCAAGGACAGCCGATCGTTTTAAGCTTTTGTTCTTGCCCTCCGGTTCTCCTACGGAACACGCAGAAGCAATCATGCCAATTGCTCTGCCAGCATGAAGCCACAGATCGGAGAAGTGGAACGCAGGCCATCACGATGCACATGATGAAGATTCTGGCGCCCGACTTTATTCTCACAGAGGAGAGATCGAACTTGAGCTATGTAGGATGTCGGGATGGACCGAGGCGCTTTCCAAAGCCAGGATTTCATGTGGTTGAAGGGACATCCAGTTGACGGCAGGAAGGTCGTGGCTCGCGTGATGCGGATGGCCAGATGTCGGACTTTCCATTCGAGGCCCTATTTTTCGCTTGAACCTGAGTTTGACTAGCAGGACAGGGCACCTACATATTCATGATCCGTACTTACCGTACCTGCGTCGGACTTCAGCAGGAACCCCAGTAGATCCGGAAGGCCTGTCCTTTCTTGCAGTGCGTTGACCTCACACATCTTGAGGCTGCAATGTTTTGTCTGCGAAAAACCGAGTAGACTCTTTTATACCTTGCCCGTTGCAGAGGCGTATGTGCTGCTGGATATCTGAGCCTCTGGGTGCACGGCCGTGCTCACAAAACACTGCAGATTCGAAACTCAGTGATCCTGTCACAGCGGTTCTGACTGCTTATCGGATCTAATAGGCACGTGGAGCCTTAGGGAGGGCGATAGAGGATCTATAGGAACAGACTATACATGTGTCTGTATGCTCCAACTTTACAGAGAGACATGGCGATGGAGCTGTTATCATAGATATCGGGCGACACAGATACATGAATCCACCAAAGTGTCGGCTGTTCTGGTTGATCATGTACGTTGACACAAGATTCAGCGAGAGAGACCGATGCATCAGACTCAACGTCGGACGGATTCTGCGGCTGTTTCACAATGCCAGCACAGGAGTCCGCGACTCCGGCTTAGATTTCCTGACTTTGATTCCTGCAAAAGGTCTGTGGTTGGGTTTGTTTGGAAAGGTCCGCATGTCCTTCAAGAAAAATTCTGGCTCAGGGGGGCTAGGTTCAATGAAGGCCTGTAGTATACTTCTGCGATCGCAACCACTCGCCATCGAAATACAGTCACCATCTGGTCATTGAAGAAGATATCGAGCCGATCTATGTAGTAGGAAGGCGTTCCTGAGCAAACGAACACAAATGGTAAAATGTTTGGTCTTGCCCCTCACTGATCTGAAGGGTCGACCGTGTAACTGAAGAGGCTTGAGAAATCCCTTCAAAGCACTTCATTGAGCACATGCGTCTCAACTGTATTAGGATCTTTCGATCCTCGAAGCTCTTGTTGCCCAAAAATGTCCACCCAAGCACTTTCGCTTGATTGCTTGGAGTTGTTGGGGGCTTGATGTGCAAGAGCCAGTCGCTCTTGCCGGCATCAGGCTGGTGACACTGAGCGCCTCCGAGCCGGCTGCAGTATACTGGTGACAGATCCTGTGCTGCCTGTCAAGCATTCCTTTCTTACATGGCTCTCGCGAGATTCCTGGCCATAGTTTCACTGGAGGTCATAGCCAGGGTTGTCGAAGCTTTAGATCTGTGGCTTCGGCCTTCCACGATGGTGTTTCTCTGGATCCATGGATACCACCACTCCGGTATGGAAAATAGAATCCCAAAAGGTCACCCATTTTCTGAGTTGAAAGGTCGTAGTACCGTAGTAACTAAGACTCTCGATTCTAGATCTGTTGACTTCACGGCTTGAGACGCCGGCTGCGTCTTGCATTTTGGCTTTCAGTGGACGAAGCATTCAGCCCCTGACGCGATGCCGGCCAAAGCGCAAAGGTACGGCCTCACGCTCAGTTGGTGAGTCCGCTTGTTGGATTCGGGCCGGGGAGTTGGGCTCATGGACGTACTTCTAAGAACGTCGGTATTGTGGGCCGAACTCCGGCGGTTGTTCTTCAAACAAAGCTGTATCTGCACTGCAGTCACATTGGCCGTTGCCGTGCCTGTCTTTTGTTGACGGGTCCTTTCATTGCATTTAGCGGGTACTGTACTGTGAGCGCTCTCGCCAATGAACCGTTCAGACAAAATCAACCAAGGGACAAGATTTCAAACCGTGCTCATCACGAGACGCTTCTTCCCGCCTTGCGTGAGTGCAGCCAAATGGATAAGAGCCCTCAACCCCATGCCGCACGTGACGGATAAAGGCTCAGAGCTCCGAAAGCGTTGCTTAAAAGGCATAAAGCTGCCGCAAATGTGTCACCAAGGGAAGCTGGCACAGGACGAGACCAAGGCTGGTCTACGTGCACGGAAGACGCGACCGGACTCGGACTCTGCTTCTTGGCAAGAAGACGACAGTCGCAGTCGCTTGCAATTTTCGGTGCCTCAGAGACCCAGAGAAAGATCGAATAATGCAGAGAGACAGAGAGTGAGAAAGCGAAGGCTTGCTCGGAAGGAGAGAAGAAATATGGACAATCTACAGCAGAAGAAGCAGAGATACATGGGCTCTAGGTGCCTGGAAAGCTCCGGGGCCCTGGGTGGGGGACTGTCCTGGCTGTGAGGGGCCGAGCCAAGACAGAGAAGGCGAGAACCAGTCTGCAAGATCCTCAACTTCCAGAGCCTCGCCGGTAACCAGACGCACCACTGCATAGACGGGGCATCCTTGAAGTTGTTCTGACCTTGAATCACCGCATTCTGTACGCTGGGAGATGCTGAATGAGTTCGCCGTCCTTGGGTCTGTGAGTCTACACTTCCAACACTCTTCCAACCGAGTAACTCAAAGCGGGAAATTTTCACGACTTGAAAGTGGAGAGCGCGATGGGTGGTCTAGTCGCCCGGTCAGTCAGTGCGAAGTGAGAATTTCAGTGAGAATTGGGCACATTTCAATGCAGTGCAACTTTTGGCACGAGAGTGTCACGCGGATTTTGGCTTGCGGTGCTACATGCCGAAGACCGTCAAACATGAGGGGGCGACGGATGGGCTGTACTGCGACTCATGCCTCCGAGCCTCCCAGCTCTTTTGAGCTCTGACCAAGTAGACCACCAGAGACCCACACGCGGCCGCAGAGGGCCATAGCGCTGAGCACCACAGGGTATAGAACATCACGTTGCGTGAGTTCGGCGGCATGTGCCAAAAAATCCAGGTTTGCTTGTGGCGGATGCTCTTAATGATCCTGCTGAGACCCTTTCCAGTAGGGACCTACCTGCAGTGGAAGTTTGAGCAATCTGGCCGACTTTGACGAGATCGCAAACTTCCTTGGTTGTGATGGGATGTTCCTTTTTCTGCACATTGTGCCAAGGCCTCTGAGCACTGCGGGAACGAGGAGCCACTGAGGTGAGAGCCTGCATGTCCGCGTCAGGCCTACAACGCTAGCTGCCGTGTTTGGAAATGTTGCTGCGTTGGGATCTCAGCTCGAGCTCGTTATCGAAGGCACGGGACCCAGTAGGGGACCCGACAGCCATCCCCATGGCCTACCGTTGTCTATCCGAGTCTATCCCTTGCATTCAACTTCTTTTCAACTCAGCTTCCTTCTTAACTCCTTTGGCACTATTGACCTTTTCAGAAGAAGCGCGGGAACATGAGGAAGCTCAGATTGCAGGCAACATGGAGCGGGACGTAGAGTGCTGTGGTAAAGTCTGCAGGAGGTGTTAAATTGTAGGTTGTAGTGGTCATTAGGTCGGGTTCTCGTTTGCAGATTCAGAGAGAGTTTTTTGTCCCGAAAGTCTGGGGGTCCTTGGCCGGGGCCGGACCTTCACGCCCCTGTCAGTGCTGTTACTGCTGTTGCCTACAGGCTGTCCACTGGCAGTGGTGTGCTGTCATCGCCAGCTGTGTTTCGGAGGAGGGAGCCTTTTCCCCCTTTGTCCCTGCCCGTCGGTTATGGGGAGCTCGCACCATTCCTATTCCAGACCTGCAGGCTGAACCAGCAGCCTCAAAGCCGCCCTCTCATGAACATTAGATGAGCAGGCGTCCGGTGGCTTGAGGGCCCGGTGCCCTAAGCCTCATGCAGGAAAGGTAGAAAGAGGAGAGACAGGGGGGAGGAGGGTAGGGCAGGAAGCCTACTGCATGACCTTTCCGCTGGAAATCGAGACTCACTTTCTGAACGGCTCAGGAGACAGAGGATGAGTCCAAGCTCAGCGAGAGGGAGATAGCCAAGAAGAAATGGGTGACTTGGAGAAAGCTGTAATACTGCGTTTCGAAGAACCACATTGCATTTCAAACATGACAGTTCGCAACGTGCAGCGGAGAAACTTGAACTGCGACAGGAGCACGCGATACTGCCACAAAGCTTTTATCCCGGCTCCAGGATTAAGGTAGGTATGGCTCAATCTTACTCTATAGGTATAGGTGTAGCTGGCTGGAGACTGTTATTGTTGCACAGGTTCGGAGATTGAGATGGGCGTGGCGAAAGCTGACAGCGGCATTTTGGGTCTCACTGGCCTGCTTCACCATCTACTACACCAACTTCTTCCGCCCGCTGGATGCAGCCTATTAAACATCCGGAACACTCCGAAACAAGTTCAGGGTCGGTGGGGCTGTTGGGTTCCGAAGCCCCCGAGATCAGCTTGCTTTTCGGAGAAGAAGGGAGAGAGTGGAGAGGCAGCCGTGTGTCTTTCCAGGCATTGGAAGTCTGCCATGCTTGCTCAGTAGTACACTCGTAGAGCCCTTTTCGCTTTGTTCCGAGACAGCGGCAGCAACCTCTGAATCGAGATTCGTTAGCATTACAAGCAATAAGTGTTGCCCTGCCGTTCGAATCTCCGAAGAAGCTTCTGGGCTTTCAGCATTGCCCGACGGACTGAAGCTTCCCCCCCGACTTTTCGGATCTTTTCGGGACAGTCACAAGCTTACCAGGAACCTCCCGAGCACTGCTGAGGTGTCATGTGGGAGTCGCCTTTGGTGAACCGTACCTACTTCTACCTTGCCTTCGCTTGCCTGGCCTTCAATATGCTTCTTGGCCGGGTTGCTAAAGTTGGGCCAACGGTCTCCAAACGTTTCGAACCTTCTGAAATTGCTCGGTGCTTGCTTATCAGAGTTGAAGGCGCAGGTGTGTGGATCCTTCAAAATGCCGCAGACACTTGCAGGGTCCTGAAGTCCTCGAGATACACCAAACCCAGATGCAGTCCCTTCCCATCTCTTGTTTCAGGTCCATGCTGGGGTATCTCGCGCTTTGGTGCACCGTCGTGCTGAAGATCGAAGAGCCTTGGGAGACTAAACATCCGAAGGCCATCCCCGTGATGGCAATCGTTGGCTTTTCCACCGCCCGTTACCCAGAATCGGTTCCCTAAGCGGGAGCAGCCATGCCAAAATGCTGCACGAGTTCTACATTCTAGAGTCAACTTGAACTGAGCTATTCGGGGACGAAGAGACGCAGCGAGCCGGAATGTTGTTCGATTGTGGGTTTTGTTGTGCATGCTTTGAATACATCATAGCTGTAGTTTCGCGGCCCGACATCAAGGTCTGAGGCCTGCGAAGGAAGGCCACATGTGTGCGTGGACCGCTACGCGAGAGGGCAGGGGCAGGTCCAGGCATACCTTCAACCATGTAAAAACATACATAGATCTACCAGCCAATGAACTATCCATCCATCCGTCCTTCCAGCCCTCCATCCAGCCAGCCAGCCAGCCATCCATGATCCATCCATGATCCATCCTTCCATCCATCCATCGATCTATCAATTCCCATAGTCTAGCTTCTGTTGATCTGCTTCTTGGTTTTGTCTATGTGAACCTGTCAAGACTGCTTCAGTCGTATTCACATATTCGTTGCGATGTCGCTGCCGTTTCTTCGTTTTTGGTCATGGTTCTACTAGCACGGGGTTCTTTGCTGACTTGGTTATTTCTTTATTTATCGGTGTTCGCTCTGTGTGTCCTTTTCTGGCTGCCTCGTCCTGGACACAACTGCAAGATGACAGCAAAAAGGCAGATAGCTGATAGCATAAAACACCTGCCAACACGTGACATGTCGGGTGTTGATTATTCGCTCCGAGTCTGAGATCGTCTTGGTGACACAGGGCTTCTACATCGTCAGAACCATAGAAAGCCTGCTCCTTGTGCCGAGGTTTGGCTGTTCTTCTTTGCGCTTTGGCCTGTCTGGGGCCTCCTTACGCTGGTTATCCAACTCATTTTCTTCCTGGGCTTCGTGAGCGCAGGTGCCGGATGGTCGTTTGCTTGAAGCTAGCTGGTTCTTGCGGAGTCGTGCTTTGCCCTCATACGCTGACTTGTGATGTCTCGTCGTCGAAAGCCGTGTTGTGCTTTGCACGTGTCATGGGTAAAACTCAATCTCGTCGTGTGGGTGCATCTGTTGCTGGGTTGGCCCCCGCTTCGTCGTGCAGGTCAGTTCCTTCCGAGTGGGACGTTCCTTGGCTCAGTTCCTGGCCCTACCACGGTATAGACCACCACGGCACGGCGCTAGTAGCATCCTCTGGATACCAGCTGGATCAGCCAGAAAAAACCGCTTCAGTATCCAGGAAGCATGCAGTGTCCATTGCTGATCTGACCCCAAATAAGAAAGCCGAACAAGCTCTCAGACGGCAGAGAGGCCCGGAGCTGTCCTGATGTTCGTGATCTTCTTCGGAGCTTTCTTCACATCAGAGCTCATCCCTCATGCCACCCGGTCTTTCGAAGTTCAAGCTTGCCTTCGGATACCGTCGATATTGTTCGGTTATCTTGTGAAGCATCTAGGCTCAGGCCGTGCCCAGCCAACCCTGTTGAATGTTTTAGGCTAAACTTGTGCAAAGCATTGCACGACTCCGGCGGAGGTGTACGGCACACGATACTTCCCAAAATAAGCGGAAGGCGCCCTCTACTCCCCGCCAATCCCCATAAAAGCTGTTGCACATTAATCTCCAGCAGCAGCAAAGGCTTGAGGACATCGAGGTTCAGGGCTCAGGCGTGCTCGAGGGGAGGTTCCTTCGAGCTCGAAGAACCGGGGAACACCACTTAAAGATAGCCTTGCTTGCGTTTGCTGCAGGCTCCACCTCGAAGCTTTGTTTGCTAGTGACCAACCAAGGCTCAGCCTTATACCAAGCGGGATCACTCATTGTTATAGCGCGTTGTCGTACATTAGAGTATATATAGGGCTATAGTTGGCCGAGGAGGGACTGGCACACTACACACCTGGTCCGAGCTCGTCGCGGTGAAGTACTGAGAGACACCGGGCTTTTGCTTTGCCGAAGCCGTGAGCGCAAGTCTTGAGGGGTTGTGAATGGGTCCGGAGACTTCAAGTGTCTTGTAGGCAATGGCCAGCTAACAGACACCATCAGAAGGTTCATCTAAGTCGTTGGTCGACAGTGCGGTCTGCAGCGGTTGGAGAGCACAAAAACCCTCACGCCCTGAATCTCTCCTTTTCCAAAGCAAGAAACACCTTACACAGTCACTGCATGCTAAGCCGTCTTGAGAAGCAGCGCGGCGCTTCATGGCGGTTCAGTAGGCAAACAAGAGCACGTAATTCACATACTGCCAGAAGGAGAATCAGAGGTCATCGCCATCATCATTATCATCGATCATCATCAACAACATCACCACCAGTAACCGCCGTCACCACCACAACCACCACCACAACATGGATGAACAAAGCAGTGCCACTGGATGGCAGCGGCAGTAGGCGTACTCGTCGTCGTCGTCGTAGTAGTAGTAGTAGCAGCAGCAGCTGTTGTAGCAGTAGAAGTAGCAGTAGCAGGAGGAGGAGGAGGAGTAGTAGTAGTAGCAGCTGTTCTCGCAGCGGTAGAAGTAGCAGTCGCAGTAGCAGTAGCAGTCAGTAGCAGTAACAGTAGCAGGAGGAGGAGTAGTAGTAGTAGTAGCGTACGAGCAACAAGAGTAGGGCAGGAGCAGGAGCAGGAGTAGTAGTAAGTAGTAGTCGTCGTCGTCGTCGTCGTGGTAGTGGTCATAGTCGTATTAGTTCCAGCAGAAATAAAATGCATCAGCTGGACAAGACATGACAGCTCCCAGCGTTGGGCACCCTTCATGTCTTAACTTCCTTTACTTTTATATTTCCACATGTCCCAGCTCCCGAACGCAGGCATGTGAGTCCAGGTCCTAGTACTGAGCCACAGGCTTTGTGCTATTAGATTAGACAGACACCGCCAGGACCGTATTCTACTAAGCTTTAGTGTCTAGATGCAATTGCCAGCACTTTTGTGCGCTAGGCTGAGGGCCTGGAAACCACCAGAATAAGAACCGTAGCCCCCTACATTTCTTGTTTTGGCCTTTGCTTTGTGCTTTAGGCTTGGGGCCGGGTACCACCAAAATATGAAACGTGGCCCCCTACATTGGCTTCTGCCCTGTGCCCTGGCTTGTAGGATTGGGGGTGGTGGGGGTGGGGGCGGCGGCGGCAGTAGTAGTAGTAGTAGTAGTAGTAGTGGTAGTGGTAGTGGTAGTAGTAGTGGAGTAGTAGTAGTAGTAGTAGTAGTAGTAGTAGTAGTGGTAGTAGTAGTAGTAGTAGTAGTAGTAGCTGTTGTTGTTGTTGTTGATGTCCTTTCAGCACTCAGTCTTCGATTGACTCTGACAACATATGTCACTTGTGTCACCACCACCGCCTCTTGAGGTCTATGAGCATGGTAACATCAGCATCTTGTGTAAAATATCAGGTAACAGTCATGAGGATGGCTGGGCCGTGGTGTCGAAGCTAACTCCGCCGGTCGATGATCATCGCAATGCCAGGGTTCCCCATCCTGAAGGAGATAGGATGTGCAGTGACCAGATTACGGGGTAAGTCCGTGATGCACCACATACGAAGTAAATCGATATTTGTGTGTTGTACGAGCCAGCCTACCATCGATGAAGATCGGTAGATTGAGATCCAAATTGAGCCGGACCACTGTGCGATCTTTTGTGAGATGTCCCCTGACTCGTTTGAAGCACATAATCTGGAGGGCAATCGCTGATGGCGGGGCCAAAATCCCCATGGTGCGATCCCGATCATGTTGCCAGTAATCCACCAACAATTGAACCTCGAGCGAAATACTCAGACCCGGAGGAAGGATATGGGCTGAAAGCCGTGCCCCTGATCAATGCAGCGAACTGCTCCCCGTTGTGAGGCAAGCTGCCGTGCTTGCCAGTCCCCTTGAAAGAGTGCCGATTGCATGTAACCCAGAACGTGGTTCAAAAACTCGCAAATATCATGTTGTCTATGTGCCTCCGTCCAACCAGCGACGATGTCCTGCCATCCCGGTAAGTTAGGCAAATCGTGTGGGAATGATGGTGTACCCTATGAACTGCTTCATCTCATCTCTAGCACCAGCCTTAGTGAGCACCTGTTTGACCTCTTTAACTCTGTCCTCTTTCAAACCTACCCCATTCCTCCTTCCTGGCTCACTTCCCGTCTCACCTTCATTCCTAAAGTCCCAAACCCCTCTGAACCTAAACATCTCCGCCCTATCGTTCTCGCCCCCACTGCCTCCAAACTTTTCACCGAAATCCTTCTCGATAGAATCCGTCCCTCTCTTCCTCCTCCCTCTGCCAACCAGCTTGCATGTATTAAAGGAACTCAAACACTAGAAGGTTATGCGTGTCTCCAACATCTTATTCATCTCTCACAGGAATACCGTCTACCTCTCGTAGCCGTTAAGCTCGGCATTTCCTCAGCTTTTGACCATCTATCTCACGAGGCAGGAACTTGCCTCGCTCTCGGAGGTGGGAAACTTGAATCTCTTATCCTCCTTAAAATCATCGTCTTGTCACGTGTTGTGCTTAGTCTCTCGGGCCAGCCATGGCATCAACAACTTCTTAGGGGGCTTCTGCAGGGCTCAAGTTACAGTGCTGAACTCTTCCGTCGTACCCTTGACTGCTTCTTGGGGGCAGCTGTGGCTAGATGGACAGCGTCGGAAAGTACCTGGATCCAGTCTGAAGTTAATGGACAAACTCATAAGCTCTCTAATCTTCTTTACGCCGACGACATTGTCCTTCTTGCCACCTGTTTTGACCAAGCCCGCAGGCTCCTTGAAGATGTTATTGATGTTCTTAATTCTATTGGCCTTTCCCTCGCCCTCGAAAAGTGCAAATTTATCATGTCCCCTGATCTCTCGCCAGGCCCTCTCCGTGTACGCCATATCCTTGTTTCCCCAGTTGGAGCCTCTAAGTTCCTGGGAGTACTTATGGGTTTCGATCTCAATTCGCAGACCATTTTGCCGGCTCGCCTCTCTCACTAACAATGCTTTTTGGCGATACTATAGAATCCTAAAAAGACCCGGAGCCCCTCTCCGTAAACGTCCCCACCTTTGTAATTCCTACGTGACTTCAAAATGGCGCTGGATGAGTCCTTGTGTTAGGCCTGTTTCAGCCGTCACAAAATGTCTCACTGTCATGCACAACACTTTCCTGACCTCCCTTGCTGGCCTTACTTCAGATCCTTTTCTGACACCGTCGCACAACTGGGCTAGTCGACGCCGTGCCAGTCGCATGTGCGCGCAGGTCTTAGGGCATCAGTCTTGGGCTGCCATTCAAGCCCGAGCCTTTTTTGCATTTTGGGGCCATGCGGCCCGTATCCGCGTTTACCGTGTCTCTCCGCTGAGTGTGGCAATGAAAATACGCGACACCATATGGCTTGAATCTCACTGGCGCTCCCACCGTCGCTGCCTCGGATTTTGGCCTAATTCTTTTCGCCTTATCCAGCTGAACTGGGAACAACATCAAGATCTTGGCACTCCTCCTTACTGGGACGACGCAGCCTTTGATAAAACTGTATGGAACAGTTTTATCTCTAATTGGCTTAGCTTTAAGAGGCTTCAACCCCTGACTTATTACCCAGACCTTGAACGAGTTGACTTGATGGGGCGCAGTCTTCTACAAATAGGAGAGAAGTTCGTACTGCCCCCCTTTCGACATGTCCCAGTCGAACCTGCCTACACATCCTCTTTCGTTTCGGTTCCCAGTCCAGAAGATAATGACAACGAGGCTTGTATACAAGTTGTCTCTGACGGCAGTCACCGCAACTCCGGTGGTGGAGCTGCTGTAGGCTTCCTAGCCCCCTACTCCTTACTTGAACATGCTGTCATTGCTCAAGCTAAGATTGAAGGGCCGTGTACCTCAACAAAAGCCGAAATAAGAGTAGCAATCCCAGCCCTTGAAATGATCCGAGTGTCTCTGCCCTACCTAGGCGACATGCCCATTTGTTACATGACCGACTCGACCTTCGTATTGCAAGTCCTGGAAGAAGCTTGTATTCTTAGCTGTCATCCGCATGATCTACATCAGCTGTTAGATCTCTGGCGCCAGGTTTGTCGTCGTGTCACAAAACAGCATGTCAAGGGACATAGTGGACACCCTCTCAATTCCCTAGTACCCGAATCAGCTTTCTCCTATTATGTCTTATCCTTGTCTACTGTCCCTAATCAAACCATCAACCCGCTGACACCATGGATGTCGTCCAGCTGCGCCGCCTACCCACGACCTGCCTGGAACATGAGCGCTCTGGATCGGTGTCACCTGCTGCCTCGCCTGTACCGGGTCTCAGTGTGAGGATGCCCCTGCAAAGGCTGGAGTGACTTGCAGAACAAAGCTGGCACGAGTTGGGAGCAATCCTGGAGATCCGCCGGAATTCATGACGAAAGTGAGTGACACACTGTGACACAGCGATCATAATCAAGAGCCCGGCACCACGATCCAACGTCCCTCTGCCTAAAGAATGTATATAATGAAAATCGCGGTTGCTCCAGGTGGCCTCGGTTTTCCACTTGGTTTCCTGGATTAGGAAGATGTCTAGGCGATTCTCTCGTGCGTTAGTTTCGCACTCCTGGAAGACTGAAGTAGTGAGACCTCCGGCGTTCCGCTTCATGATTATCCAATGAGGCCAGGACGTTTGTTGTTGTGTGTTTTTCGCAAGGTTCTGAGGTCTCAACTGTACTCCTCGAAACCACTCCATGGGGCGCCAGCTGCCCTTGTAGTATGAACGCCTGTGCGGCACGATCTTGCATACGCTCGCCTGTAGGGTCTTTTGACAGCTGTTGCGTTCGGGGGGCACACTGGCCTTCCGCATGCCATTCGGCTTCGCCGCCGTGGCGGCTTCAGACACTGTGATGGCCCCCTAGCGTCAACCCTCGCATCTACGCCCCCCGCTTTCACAGGACAACAATGGAAGCACGACCAAATGATAAGCGTGAAAAGTGCTTGCTGCCTGCAGAGGACGCGGCCGGACTTGGGACCA